AAAGGCGCGATGGACCTTTATTAGTTCCTGAGATTGCTTCCTTATCTCTGAAGTTATGTTAAAGGGCGGTTTCATGCTCGATGGTGGCATCGCGCCCCACTCTGGGCCTTGTTCTATGTATTTGAGTCTCTGATGGGCCTATCATATTTTATTAGGGCTGTGCATGGGTCAGGTCGGGTCAGGTTTTTGTCCGACTCGACCCAACTTGGTTTTTATAGGTGAGGTATTTTGACCCGACCAGCTTTAATTTGATCCAAGTCAGGTCTGACTTGGTTGGGATTTTGTTGAACTAGTTCAGAACCGGGTCGGATCTGACCTGTCTTGGTTTTTGAAGTGGGTCTGACTTGATTTCTGAAGTGGGTCAAATCTGACCTGACCCATTTTTGACTTGGTTTCCTCACAAAATTTCGTCGAAATTTTTACGTTGCAAATGACCAAAATTTCGTCGAAATTTTTTGTCTAATGAAAAGTTTTACAAAAATAAATTTTGTATCGAAATTTAGTTTCCGTCAAAAGTTTTGACGAAAATGATGTCTTCCATCAAATATGTTAAATGAAAAAAGAATTCTGTAAAAAATTTTAACAAAATGTTTTTCGTTCAAAATTTTGATGGGAATATGTTCTGACGAAAATTTCGACGGAAATTGTTTCGAGGGAAATGTTTCATCCGAAACTTTCGACGAAATTTAGATTCTCAAAAAAATTTGACAGAATATTTTTTCGTCAAACATTTTTACGAATTTTTTTACAGGAATGTGTTCTATTGAAAATTTTGATGGAAATATTTTTAATCAAAAAACTTGACGAAAATATTTAGTTGAAAATTTTTGATGGAATTGTGTTTCGTTAAAAATTTCGACGAAAATTTTTTTTGTCAAAAAGTTTAACGAAAATTTTTCCGTCGAAAACTTTCGCTGAAATTTGAAATCTGTAAAGAATTTTGATGAAATTTTTTTCCGTCAAATTTTTTTGATGGAAATGTGTTTCGTCGAAATTTTCGATGGAAATTGTTTTGAGGGAAATGTTTCATTCGAAACTTTCGACGAAATTTAGATTCTCTAAATAATTTTTACAAAATATTTTTTTTCGTCAAAATTTTTTATCGAAATATTTTTTGTAAAAAGTTTTTACAAATTTTTTTTACAGAAATTGTTCCGTTGAAAATTTTGATGGAAATATTTTTTATCAAAAAACTTGACGAAAATCTTTAGTCGAAAATTTTCGATAGAAATGTGTTTCACTAAAAATTTCGACGAAATTTTTTTTTGTCAAAAAGTTTAACGAAAATGTTTCCGTCGAAAACTTTCGCCGAAATTTGAAATCTATAAAGAATTTTGATGAATTTTTTTTCCGTCAAAATTTTTCGATGGAAATGTGTTTCGTCGAAATTTTGATGAATATATTTTTTTGTGAAATATTTTGACGAAATTTAGATTCCGTAAAAAATTTGACAAAAAAAATTTTCCGTCAATTTTTTTTACAAAAATATTTTTAGTCACAAATTTTGATGAAAATATTTTTCGTCAAAAAAATTTGCAAAATTTTTTATGGAAATTTTTTTCGTAAATAGTTTTGACATAATTGTTTTATGTTAAAACTTTTCTTTTAATGTAATTGTGATTTTTTCTTTCTTTTTTTTTCACATAATGGGTATCAGTCAAGTTTTGGGTCAATATTAAAACAAGTCAGGTCTAAAATTGATCCAAATAAAAGTGTGTCAGTATTTAAACCAGTTCAAAAAATATAGGTATTTATGAGTCAAGTCAAGGTCGGATCAAAGACGGGACAAGTGAACCAAATTTTTTTGCACACCCCTGTATTTTGTCCAGATCAATTACACTTCTTCGAAACAAAAGATTTTAGAAGGTACAAACCAATTGTTCTTCAAAATTGAGATTGTTCAAAAGAATCAAAACTGTAAGATTAAAATAGAACAACGAGCTCACACAATGCACTCGAATAGGTGTTCTTGAATCGCTTCAATGGTGACTCTTTCTTGTGCTTGCGTATTCAGAAAGTCAAAAATTAAAACTAGGGAACTTGAAAGAAAAACTATAACTAAAAACAAACATAGCTCCACAAATTCATTGCTGTCCACCCATGCCTGTGCTCATCCAACGATTCACATTTGTCTTAGCTTGACATATCTTCCACGTGGCTTCCCCTTTTTCATCAGAAAGACCAAAATTAAAAGAAACTTATAATTAATTGAAGTTACATTTACTTCCTTCCTTTTACCCTTTTCCAACTTGGGCCATATTGGTTCTCTTTAAGCCCAATTACCTGCAATTTTAACTATTAACAGCCCAAATACCATTAGAAACACCTTGCAAACTTAACCAAATTTAATGCTAACAAATTAACAATCACCCAAGCATAAAGGCCTCAGACTATGCTTCAAATCCTACTATATATAGGTTATCTCTTTTAATTCCTACCCCTATTAGAACTGTTCCACTGAATGACTCCACTTCAGAGGGTTTTTTTCTCAGTAGTCTTATGCCTTTTTGCTTGGTCACAAGCACCTTCCGCTTGGCATTAGCAACCTACCCTACTTAACTTGTCCATCTCTTGCATTTCTTTAATAAATTATTTATCCTATATATTATATTTTTTTATATCGATCATAATTATTTTTTTAAAGCGATTCAATCTTGGAGTATTTTCACAAGTTTGAATTCTTTAAATTAATTATGAGATTAATCTCGAGTCAAAATTTAATCACAATTAACGCTCTTTATCCCTTTCTAAAAATATATTTAGTGAAAATCAAAATCAAATTTTCTTTCCACCTATTTAACATGTGTTACAACTGTTGGGTTATATATTGTATATGTTGAAGTTATAAAGTATGGGAATAATATGGCATTACGTGTTGCGAACTAAGACCAAGTAGAGTCCTCACATTTGCTTTCTAATCTTGCAGGAATAACAGAGCATCTATATATTAATAAATAACTGGTTCGCAAATGGCTCATAGATATTCAGAAAGAGGTAAATTTTATAGGATTAATGTTTTTAATTGTAGAAAATAATTCTATTTCTTACACATATATAAAAATTTATGATATTTTCTTCTTCTTTTTTTCTCTTCTATTACCATACACTTTTATATGTGTATAAAATAATTTTATCTCCCACGACTTGCAAAACACTAATCCCAAATTTTGCTTTTGTTTTAATGTTAAGGATATATACAAGTCATTATTTTTTTGCAATTGACTAATGCTTATATGAAGTCAAAAGCCTTCAAGGAGGCTTCCAACTTTAAATCGAGATAGTCGAGAAGGAATTCAAGCCACATTAAATAATATAATTTGTTGGAATTTGTTTCTCTTTAATTATTTAGGCAGCTACTCATTAGTAGTGCATATTTCGAAAAATCTGGAGATAATCTTGAATACTTAATAGTTAATTAACCATTTTAACAATATTGTTATCTAATCATATTCAAACAATTTTTTTAAAGGAACATATATAAACATTTCAATTATGAAACAAAACTTTCTTAAAAGTTATTAATAATTTTTGGAAAACAAGTATCTAATGTTACTTTAGACAACTTTGTCTAATATTCATCGAAACGACGTCATGTTGGGGATGAAAAATTAAAAAATTAAAAAGATAAAAACTATTATAACTCTGAAATAAATTAAAATTACAAAAATACCATGATTTTCGTCCCAAAACGACGTCGTTTCAATGAACATTAGATAAAATTATCTAAAGTAACTTTAGAAAAAAGAAACCCATAATTTTTACATTTATATTTTTTTACATTAAATTCAAATATAGAAAAATAACTTTTGTTTTGAAAAGTTCTTGTTTAAAATTGAAACTATATTACATTTGGATGTAGTATGTAAAAAATATTTTTAACTAAAAAAAAGTTAGGATGGTAAAATTTAAAAGCACTTTTATGCATAAAATTATTGGAAAAAGTATGTGTCATTTTAAATGATGTAATGTTGTGTAATTTTAAGTGAAAGAAAGAGATATCATGAGGAGAAAGAGTGGACAAAAAAAATAAAAATATGTATCTCACCTCTTTGTGAGAGTAAAATAACATAAGATGTGTCATTTAAAAGGACAAATATTTTTCCTAAAATTATTAAAAAGAGACCTACGACACCAAACCATGGAATTATTTGATAGAACGGTAATAGTGGTTTTGACGACAATAGAGATAGTGACGGTGGCTACATTAGTCAGATTGATTGAAGTTGATATTATGGCAAATTGAATTTTCTTTTTTAAAATATCTAACTTTTAACACCTTAAGCAAAAAAATAAAAAAAATTAGCTTAAACTGAAAAGATGAGTTACGAGTCTTATGACTTTTTTTTATCACTTATATTTTTTGAGAAAATTTGACCTCAAAATATTTATTTTTAGCGAGAAATACTTTTTTTAAAAAAAATTTGAGGAGAAAAAACCATCCAAATGAATTTTCAAATTATAATAAACTTTTATTTTTTGTTTTATTTTGTTCTATCATTCATGATGCTTTTAATAGTCGGTCAATATATTTTATAAAGTAATTTTATTTTATATTAGGCATAAATTATATTTAAAAGTATTTTCTTATTATAAATTAATTATTTAAAAAGAAGTATAGTCCGTATATAATATGCATTCAATATTATTTTTAAACAATGATAACTAACATTATTTTTTTTTCATTAATTTAAAGATAACTTGGGAGACCAAAGGATCAATAATTCAAAACTATAAAAACCAATACCTAAAAAAAATTATATCGTGGCGTTAATTCAGCTATAAACCTATATATGTATTCAAATTGTGATCGAGGTTACGAGAAAATAAATAAAAAATCAACCGCCTCTTAAAAGAATATTTAATATTCCATTGGAATCTCATGACCTTGAAAACAAAACTTGCACCGCTTTCGTAAATTTCTAAGATAAATCAGATGCTACCATAGAATCGACATCAACGTGTCAATTCTTAAACCAGAGACCGATTTACAAGTAGCCCCAAAATATTAGTACTTTTTATATCCAAAAAATAAAATAAATATATATTGGTACTTTCCAAATTGTTGCTTTTCCTTTTGCGTTAATTTCAGAAACAGAGAGAATGGGTGTTGTGATAATTGACGGCACCACCGTGAGGGACTTCGTTAGCGACGACGCACAGTTTAGCAAAAGCGTTGACGAGCAGTTCACGGCGTTGGACCTCAACAACGACGGCGTTTTGTCGCGCGCGGAGCTTCGCACCGCCTTCGAGTCCATGAGGCTGATCGAGTCTCACTTCGGGATCGACGTGACCACCTCGCCGGAGCAGCTCACCCAACTGTACAACTCCATCTTTGATAAGTTCGACGTCGACGGCAGCGGCACCGTTGACCGCCGTGAGTTCCGCTCCGAGATGAAGAAGATCATGCTCGCCATAGCTGATGGGTTGGGTTCTTTCCCCATTCAGATGGCCCTTGAAGATGACGCTCAAAGCCTCCTTCAGAAAGCTGCTGATCTAGAAGCTTCCAAAACCGCCACCGCTTGAGGCGGCGCTGTCTTCGCTCCTAATTTGGAAAACTGTGTCGTTTGGTGTTGTATGTGTAAAAAAATAAAGAGGGTCATTGTGTCTAGTTATCGGTTTTTTTTTTTTTTGACTCCGGATTCACAAGTTTGTTTAAACGGTCCATTGTAGACACTTTCGTGCACCTGCTTAAAACATGAACTTTATAATTCACAAGTTTCTTTTCTTTTCTTTTTTCTTTTTAATGTACGGAGAACTGTGAATATATCAAAACGACAAAATGTAAGATTTATGCATAAGTGACACAATTTTGAAAATGGAATTAAGTTATGGAGATTCTGTAGGAAATCTTATATTTATGCGGAAGCGGTTTAGGACCTAGTACATTGGTATGCTTATCGAATCATCCTTGTTTCACAATTACCTCTCGGTGCGCAGGTGTCGTGTAGAATCTTCCCTTGTAGGATTCCTCTTCACGAACAGCTCACCTCAGCGCCGCAGCACGAACAACCTCCTTGAAGCTGGACTGTGGCAGATCTTCCAGACTATCTCTCGAGGAGGATGAGATGGTTGTGTGGGCAACCGTTCAGATGATGAACGTCTGCCTCTTAGGTTTGTTTCTGATGATCTGATCACCTTGGAGGCACAAGAGGAGAAAACTATGAATATATACGCTTAGGTCTTAGACATAACTTAACCCTAAGCCTCATGGGCTCAAGTTTCACTGAAGCCCAATAGGACTTTAGTGACCAAAAGAGCATATATCCAACAATCTCCCACTTGCTCTTTAAGATACACACTTGAGTTCGTAAACCCAAGACCATGTAGCCCATAAGCTATCATCATCTGATAATATACCCCCATCCCTTGTCTCGAGCTAGCCTGGGGACCTGCCATTTGTCATTAATCAAGGCTCCTGATAATCTTTACAAGATTATCTAATTCGGTGCTACTCCACTAAAAGCCCGAACGTGAACTCCAAGATTAATGACCTTTATAACATTAATATGCATTGCCCCTTTATAGAATGTATATAATTCATTGATTAGTTTTCTGTAACCCAATCAATTATTTATTCCCTCGACTTTGATAATTTCTCTAATGGATTACATGCACTGGCCAGTGTCTTTAATATCCAAGTACCGAAATATATCAAGGGGACATTTCCTATAAATTCCTTGTTGTTTATCTCATAAATACTGATAATCAAATAATCTCACTCCCAAAACACCGAGTTATTGGTCGTCAAAAGATCGGACCTCACCCGTTGGTAAATCAAAGAATGAAAACTATTTGATTACCTATTTATAATAAACTCAGGATTAAGAGCAATCACATAACTATAGTTAACTGGAGATTTGATACCTTATGACAGAAAAACAACCTTAATCAAATCTCTCCTTGATCCTTGCAATGTGAATGTTAATTCACACCAATATTTTACAATGATTCAGACAAAACCATTTCATAAAATATTGCAGCCTAAATAAAGTGCCCAACTTTATTTAACAGCTGTGAATCCATTCATCAATTGTGAGAACCTATGATCATGTCCTCTATGAACGTATCCATATGATCATATACTCCACAATTTGATCCGGACCTTTATGTTTGTAAATAGTGCGCAAAATAAATAAATAAAACCTTATTTATGAAATTCAGAAAATTATTTTATTGTTTCATCGTCTTACTCCAAGAGCACAATGGAACCAATAACTCCCACTTGCTTAATGCAAGTCTGGGATCCTCCTAAGACCCAAAGAAGTAACACGCCTCTCGAACACAAGTTCAGGCAAACTCTTAGTAACTGGGTCTGCAAGATCCACCTCTAATGCTATCTGAGTTTAGTGAAAAACTTATAGCTCGAGGTTGATTTTCTTGAGTCAATATCCACTTGAAATAACTGAATTTTTGAAAACTCAGCTTTTCAAGACTCCCACTAGAATATACCAGCATATAATCTCTCGTTCTCCAAAGATACTTGAGTACATGCTTAACAATAATCTAGTATTCCTCTAGGTTCAAAATGGTACTATCTCACTACTCCCACTACGTGACAGATGTCTGGTTTAATGCCCAACATGATATGCATGAGTCTACCTTTGCCAAAGCATAAGATATCCTACTCATGCATTCTTTCTTCTTAGAAGTCTTTGGTTACTCCTTAAGAAGATGAATTCCACATCTGAGAATTATAATTCTTCTCTTAGAATTCTCATGTTGAATTTTGGCAAGAGTTTTGTCAATGTAAGTAGCCTGAGGTGATGCCAACAACTTATTCTTCCGGCCTCATAAGAGTTTTATACCAAGAATATAATTGGCTTCCCCAATACTTCCATACCAAAACACTAACTTAGCCAACTCTTTATGCTTGATATTACCTCCACGTTGTTTCCAATAAAGAGCATATCATCTACATAAAGTACCAGAAAAACTACTGTCTTCCGTTGGATCCTTTACATACAAATACACATCATTCATCAAGGTTCTCTCAAAATCAAAATTTTGATAACCTGATCAAAACTGATGTTCCAAGACCTGGATGCTTGCTTAAGACTATGAAATAGACTTTCACAACTTGCATACCGTGTGTTTCTACCCATTTGCTATAAACCCTTTTTGGTTGTAGTATGCAGATATCCTGACATCCAACTCCCAAAATTAAATCTCATAATTGAGACTTATAGCAACCAAGAGAATCTGGATAGACTCAAGCATGACGTCTGGCAAAAAATGCCTCCAAGCTAGCTTTGAAGTTTTTCACCTTCCTGTCCATCCTCTCTTTGCCTTTTATGTCCACATGCACCTTGTTGGTTTTACCCCTCTTGGTATTTTTACTAGGACCGAACGGAGTTGAAATACAAGTATTTCATCTCATTGTTCATAGCTTGAGCAACACTTGATCAACAACATTTTCTAGTGCATTATTGTAACTAGTAGGATCAATGTCACTCAACAAGAGACAACTTGAGAGTTAACAAGGTTCTCTCCCACTACGAATGTACTGCACTAGACCTTGTGTATTTATAGGTAAAATAAATAGTGGGTCAAATGATGGATCTTCAATTTCTTGAGGATCCGTTTATCCATGATATTGTTCCTTTACATGTGATACTAATATTTCTACTAGTTTCACTTATATATTATCATGTTGAATTTCCAATCATGGTTCTCTTGTTTGTTCACTTAGAGATATATCTATCCCCTCTTGAACAATCAAGGGAACAGTGGATGAAGCTTCTAGTGATTTTGGAAATTCTTGATCTGAGATAAATCTTATCAAGAATAACCTAACTTAAGAGCTTATAATTTCTCATCTAGTCCTCCTTTAAGAAAATCATGTGAGTTCTCACTTAGATTATCTTGTCCTTAAGACTAAATAAGAAATCATCCCTAGTTCTCTTAGGGTAGCCAAAATGCACTCCTCCATACAAGATTTCATCTTATTTGACTGCTGTTGTAGGACGTGTGCCGTAGCACCCTAAATCCGAATATGGTTTGATCTGGGCTTGCACCCTTTCCATAATTCTTTAGGTGTCTTTACAACAAACTTTGACGGAATCAAGTTAAGAAGGTACATTTCCTTCTCTTAGGCATCTCCCTTGAACAACATTGACAAAGATGAATAACTGAACATGATCTTCACCAAGTCTAGAAATGTTTGATTTTTGCATACTGCAACTTCATTCAACTAACGTGTTCTTAGAGTTGACAGTTACAAAAACTATCCCCTCTTAAATCAGGTAAAACCTGAACTTACCAGACAGGTAGCCAACACTTTAGTCAGACCAAAGTGTTTTTGATTTGAACACCTACATGCTTTTCTGCCTCAGACTAAACCTCTTGGAAATTTTCAAAAGCTTTAGACTTAAAGCGCACTTGGTTCATCTGTCCAAATCCAGAGTAAACATTCATATAATGAAGTACTCATCACCTCTTCTGGTCTGAACGCTAAGTGGTCCACATACTTTAGTATGTACCAGTTCCAGTTGAATAGTTGCGCAAACCTTCTTGGCCCTTGTAGAATTGCTTGGCCACTTTACCTTTCAAATATGACTAACATGTAGCTGTTAGTTAAAAGATTCTTGAACTTTCATTCCCTCTTTTAACTAAAACATGTTTCCTACTAGAGATAATGTGACTCAATCATAAAGGCCAAAGTTATGTTTCATTTGAAACTTTTATTTCTTTGGTGAAATTTCTTGTTCATCATCCTTCCATTCAACATAACAAATTTAAAAAGGTTATAGGACATAGGTAATAAAGACTATTTAAACAATGTACCAGAACAAACAAGACGAAGATGAACTTCGAAATGTAACTGAGGAATCAATTGCATTGTCAATCCATGTTTTAACCAAAACAACTAACAAAAATTGAATTCCTCTTGAAATCTGGAACAAATAAACAGTCACCCAAAACCATAGTCTTATAAATAACTTGTCCTACTGCAAATGCAGATACAAGTTCCCATTTTCAAACTTAAAATATCTATGTCCATTGCTGACAGGCATGCCATGTTTGAACTACTATCAAGAGTAACAAACATAATCAGTGATTCATGAATCAATAATTCATTCACTGATCAGGCCTTGATATGCCCATGTCAGGTTCTTTTCATCACCTCTGGGCAATTTTTCTTTCAGTCTGCACTTGAAGAACTTGCCTTGCGGCTTCTTCATAGCAACTGGTTTGACAACCGATAACCAAGTCATTTTGTTCTTGTTACCACCCTTGGGTTTCCCTTTGGATTTAACAAGACTCTTAGCAAAACCTGCACCGACTGCATTCTGTCTAGCAGAGCTGCTAGACGCAGCAAACATGTCATTAAGAGTCTGAAGCATTTTTACTCCACTCTTAATCATGTACACTTGCTTCTGCAAGTATTTGGAAAGACTGACAATAATATAGCAGCGAACTACCATATCTACCTATGGCCCTCGCATTGTCAGGACAATTTTTAGCTTCCATGTTTTAGAACAATATCAAAAATTTGTTTTTCACTTATTCATAGTTGGTACTATCTAGAGGTTTTCGACTCAAAATCATTTCTAAGATATTTTCTGAAAAACATATAAAGCACACGATTACAAACAAATAATGCAATAAACAAACGAAGTGCAAGTAGATTCTCATAACTACTCTTGTTTATTGTTAACAATCCTTCAGTTTTTCTTTACAAGGCTTACGATGGGCAAGTCACTTGTAAAAACCAAAATTGTTATTTGGGC